CCTCAGCTATAGGCTGGCAACAAAATACCGGGCAAATAGAGATGCTATGATGGATAATGTCAATTAATGGATTTTTCAACGACCTCATCGTGTTTGGAGAGGCAAGATTGGCAGCAATTTCAAAACTGGTGACCTATTGAAACCACTTCAACGAGTATCTCAGAGCATGCCCCACATGTGGGACTTGGGGTGGGTGGGAAATCGGGTGGGGCTTCTCCCTCAATATCCCCCTCTACCTCAGATATATGAAGGAAACAATATGGAAATAATAGTATTACCCACTTTCCTGTAGCCCTTGACCCTTTTTGCCCAAATTAACTATGTAAAGATTGACAAAATAAAAAAAAAAAAAAAGAAAGAAAGAAACAGGCTGAAAAGAATGTATAGAAGAAAAAGAACACGGCCCGGCACCGTGGCCTAACAGCTAAAGTCCTCCCCTTGAACGTGCCAGGATCCCATATGAGCACCGGTTCTAATCCCGGTGGCCCTGCTTCCCATCCAGCTCCCTACCTGTGGCCTGGGAAAGCAGTCGAGAACGGCCCAAAGCCTTGGGACCCTGCATCCATGTGGGAGACCCAGAAGAGCTCCTGGCTTCGGATTGGGGCAGCACCGGCCATTTAAGTCACTTGGGATGTGATAGATCAGACAGAAGATATTTCTCTCTGTCTCTCCTCCTCTTTTTATATAATTTTGTAATAAAAATAAATAAATCTTTTTAAAAAAAAAAAGAAAGAAAGAAAAACGAATTCACAGAGATTCTCAAGATTCATGGAGGACTCAGTCCAAGCTCAATAAAACCTTATTGCTCTAGAAAGATAATAATAACAAAAAAATAACCTGAGGACTGGCATTGAACTGCAGCAGGTTAAGTGGTAGCCTGAGACACCATCATCCCATATGAGTATTGGTTTAAGTTCTGGCTGTTCCACTTCTCTCTCTCTCTCTCTCTCTTTTTTTTAAATTTATTTATTTTTATTGGAAAGACAGATCTACAGAGAGAAGGAGAGACAGGAAGATTTTCCATCTGCTGGTTCACTCCCCAAATGACCAGAGCTATAATGGCCAGAGCTGAGCTGATCAGAGGCCAGGATCCAGGAGCCTCTTTCAGGTCTCCCATATGGGTGCAGGGTCCCAAGGCATTGGGCCATCCTCTACTGCTTTCCCAGGCCAAAAGTAAGGAGCTGGATGGGAAGTGGAGCAACCAGGACATGAACTGATGCCCATATGGGATGCCGGCATTGAAGGGGGAAGATTAGCCAATCAAGCTATCGCACAAGGTTTCCCAGCTGCTCCAACTTCCCATCCAGCTCCTGACTCATACATGTATGAAAGCAGTGCAAGAAGGTTCAAGTGCTTGCCCCCCAACCCCCACCACTTATGTGGGAGACCCAAATGAAGTTCCAGGCTCCTGGCTTCAGCCTGGTTCAGTCCTAGCCATTGCAGCTGTTTGGAAAATGAACTAGTGAGTGGAAGATTCTGTTTCTCCCTCACTTCTAGTAACTCTATCTTTCAAAGAAATACGTGAATCTATATACACTTACATGTATATGCTTACTGAAGATGTCCAATTTTATTTTAAATTGAAAACATCAAAATTTAATAAGAAAAATCTGTTCTTCAGATTTCTATGTGGATACTAGTTTTCAACTCCTTTCTGGTCAATACCAAGGATCACAACTATTTAATCTTCTAGTGAAAGTGTTTTTTTGTTTGTTTGTTTCAATTTCTTTTTAAAGATTTTTATTGGAAAGTGAGATTTATAGAAAGAAAGATCCTCCATCCACTGGTTCACTCCCTGAGTGGCTGCACAGCCAGAACTGAGCCAATCTGAAGCCAGGAGCCTTCTCCAGTCTCCTGTGCAGGTGCAGAGTCCCAAGGCTTTGTGCAGCCCTCCACTGCCCTTCCAGGCCACAAGCAGGGAGCTGGATGGGAAGTGGAGCAGCTGGGATACGAACCGGTGACCATACAGGATCCCAGAACATGCAAGGCAAGGACTTCTAGTCTACCACTCCAGGACCCCAAAGTATGTTTAATTTGGTTAAAAAACAAAAACATGAAACAAAACAAAACAAAAAAACCTGCCAAGCTGGTTTTTAAAGCGACTATTCAGTTTCACATTCCCACCAAAAAGAAATGAGTTTCTGTTGCCCTGTGTTCTCACCTGCATTTGATGATGTTAGTGTTCTGGATTTTGGCTATTTTGAACCACGAAAAGATAGGGAAAGGTTAATTTCAGCTATAGAAAGTCAATGAGACCTTCCATCCACTGGTTTACTTTCCAGATACCTGCAATGACTAAGGCTGGGCCAGGCCAATGAACTCCATCCTGATTTTTCTACATGGACAGCAGAAGCCCAAGTACTTGTGCCATTTTCCACTGCTTTCCCAAGTGCATTAGCATGGAGTAGAATTGGAAATGGAGTAGCTGGGACCCCAGCCAGTGCTCGTATCAGATGCTGGCGTTGCAGGTGCTGGCTTAACTGACTACAGCATATCACTGGAATGACATGTGTAAAAACAAAGAAATGCCAAGAATTGCTGGAAGCCATCAGAAGCTAGGAGAGGGAGATATGGAACAAATTGTTCCCTGGAGTGGCCAGAAGAAACCAACCCTGGGGATACCTTGATTTCAGATTTCTGACCTCCAGAATTGTAACAAAATGAATTTTCTGTTGTTTAAAGTGACCCAGTTTGGGATAAATAGTTATGGTAACCCTACCAAACTTATACACACCCTGCGTCATATGATCCAGTTTTCTTCAGACTTTCAATTAAGCAGGTTTTATTTAGGGTTTTATTTAGGGTTTGGTGCCATGGTATACCAAGCTAATCCTTCATATGGAATTCCAAATGGGTGTCAGTCTGCTCCACTTCCAATCCAGTTTTCTGCTAATGGTCTCTGAAAGCAGCAAAGGAAGGTAAAGGTCCTTGGGCCTGGACATCCATGTGGGAGACCTGGAAGAAGCTCCTGGCTTTCAGGTTGGCTCAGTTTTGACCATTTTGACCATGTGGGGAATGAAACGGCAGATAGTAGCTCCTGTTCTCTGTCTCTCCTCTCTGTAATTCTGTCTTTAAAATAAAAATAAAATAAATGTAAGAAATAATACTTTTTTTAAGATTTATTTTTATTATTTTTTATTGGAAAGGCGGATATACAGAGAGAAGAGACAGAGAGGAAGATCTTCCGTCCGATGATTCACTCCCTAAGTGAGCACAACGGCCGATACTATGCCGGTCCGAAGCCAGGAGCCTCTTCCGGGTCTCCCACACGGGTGCAGGGTCCCAAAGCTTTGGGCCATTCTCGACTGCTTTCCCGGGCCACAGGCAGGGAGCTGGATGGGAAGTGGGGCTGCCGGGATAGAACCGGCGCCCATATGGGATCCCTGTATGTGCAAGGCAAGGACCTTAACCACTGCGCCACTGCGCCACCGTGCCGGGCCCAGAAATAATACTTTAGAAAGTGTTATTTATTTGTAAGGCAGAGTGAGAGAGAGCAAGATTTTACATACACATGTTTTCCAGCCTCTGATTGACTCCACAAAAGCCCACAACAGCCTGGGCCCAGAACTCACTCCATCCAGGATGCCCACATGGGTAAGCAGGGAACCCAAGTGCTTGCTGCCTTACAAGGTATGAATTAGCAGAAAGTCACTAACGGAACTGGTGGTGGGACCTGAACCCAGGCAGTCCAGTAGAGGTTATGGCATCTCAAATGGCAGTCTAGCTATTGTGTCGCAATGCTCACCCTCCAAGTGCTCTGTTCTACCTGATTTCCTCCTAGCTCCTTTTTGTCTGGTACAATTTGACTCCATCTTTAAGATGCCAATCAAACAGGATGTCCTTAACGAGACCTCCCTGAACTACGCCACACTGGTGAGTGTAGTTACTTCCTCTTCTGTGTTCATGCGTTTTGTAGTATCTTCACGTCTATGCTCCCCCCCCACCCCGCTTATCTATGAGCTTCTGGAAGGAATAGGATGTCTTACTTATCTATGTATTCCCAGAGCATAAGCACATTGTTTGGCACCAATGAGGAATAAAGATTCAATAACTACTTGCTAAATTAAACATTTTGGTAAAGAGCTTCTCTGGTTAGCTCTGTGTTTCAGGGAAGGTGAATCCGGCAACATAACGAAGCATGGATTTGAGGGCAGGGGACCTTTAGAAAGGAAGACCTTCTGGTGAGTTCTAGTAATAATCATGACTAGCCATAATGAAAGGCTGATTTAGCAAACTAGCTGTGGTAATGGAAAGGAGGAAACTGCTGGGTGAAACACCACAGAAGCAGAGATGATTGGATTCTCAGGGTGAGAGAGAGGAATTGAAGATTATTCTGAGGTTCTGATCCTCGGTGACTGACTGAGAGGCTGATGATAATATTAACTGAGATAGGGAAGACAGGGAAATAAGCAGATTTAGGGCAAAGATGGGAGAGTCTGAAGCTAACATTGTTGCTCCTCTGTTTCCAGAGTCTCTTTCTAGGTCTGACTTCCTTACTGGTCTGTCTTAACAGGAGCTCAGCTCCAGCAGCAGCTGGGGGTGGGTGTTCTGGTTTAGATGAGGTCAGAGGAAAGCTAGCCTCCGGAGCTGAGACAGACAGTATTTTCCATTCTCCTAAGACACTAGACCTTTGGCAGTTAGGAGTGATGAACCAAGGAGCATGAGTGGGTGTGGGGCATTAGCACCTCCCCCTCTACAATGTCATGGCTTAAAGGAGAAAGTGGCTGGGAATGGTGGTAGCGGTGAGCAGATCCTTCGCAGGATCTAGGCTGTCTGCCGATTCTTCAGTCTGTGACATTATTGTGTCCCCAGCCTCGGTCTGTATTTACTACAACCTTCCAGTAACATCTCGACTCCTGGGAGGGTTCAGCCCGTGTCACAGTCTTTACCACACTTCTGTAAACCCCTGGTTTCAAAGGTTCTTTCCACCGGAAGCTATGAGACAAGGAAATGGTGTTCGTGGGGAGGGGCCCAGGTTTCTGACACAGACTGCACCCAGGGGACGAAGAGAAAGCGAAGAGGAAGCGCCATGTTGAAGCCGCCATTGCCACTGCTATCCTTTTTGTTCCTGCAGCTGCTGGGGGTGGGGCTGAACCAGAGGCTCTCCACACCCATTGGGAATGAAGACGCAACTGGTGGGCAAGCTGGTACTGGAGGGGGTTGGGGAGAAGGGAAGCTGTGGGAAGGCACCCCATAGAAATCTGGATCCTCCCAGTGTGCATGAATACAACGTGGGCCGAATTGAAGAGTGAAGTGGGGAGGGTGAGGGGAAGTGTTCCCTGTCTTATGGTATTTCTTCTCCTGATCACCATTTCTTCTCTCTTTCCCCTCCATTATTTTCTCCCCGACCCAGATTTCTTCCCAACTTCTCTGTCCCCTGAGTCCCTCAGTGTTTCTACCCTGCCCCTCCCAGAAGTTCAATGCTTTGTGTTCAATGTCGAATACATGAATTGTACTTGGAACAGCAGCTCCGAGCCCCAGCCTACCAACCTGACTCTGCACTATCGGTATGAGAAGGGAAGGAGGGGAGCTCAGGGAGGAAGGGGTGGTGGGCTGGATGAGAGAGATTGCACATGGACCAAGAAAGAGGGCGGCCAGGCACCCCACTATTTTCTCATCGGCTATGTCATAAGGCAGTTCCAAGGAGATGAAGCTGTGCTGTGGATACCTGTATTACCCAAATTTGCCCCCACTGACCCTCTTTCTTCTAAACTTTCCTTCTCCAGGTATGAGAATACTGATAATTCTAAATTCCGGGAGTGTGGCTACTATATATTCTCTGAAAAAATCACATCTGGCTGTTGGTTGCCAAAACAAGAGATCCAGCTCTATCAAACATTTGTTGTCCAGCTCCAGGACCCATGGGAACCCAGGAGGCAGGCCATGTGGAAGCTAAAACTGCAGAATCTGGGTAATGTGGGGAAAGAAAGGGAGGTAAAGAGTCACAGTGATGTTGGGGGGTTCTGGAGCCTGTAGAGTAGTGTTCTTTTACCTTAAGGAGATGTGGGTGGAAACGAGGAGGCAGAGGGTGGGGAAAGGAGAAAGAAGGGAGAAGAGCTGTTGCTTTCAAGATTCCGACTTGCCTAGGCCAGGGAAGTGACCATGTATTCGCCTATCTGCAGTGATTCCATGGGCTCCAGAGAATCTAACACTTCTCAACCTGAGTGAATCTCAGCTAGAACTCAGCTGGACGAACAGATACCTAAACCATTGTTTGGAGCACCTGGTGCAGTATCGGAGTGACTGGGATCACGGCTGGACCGTGAGTGGCTGAGGACCTGAATGTAGCTGCTAAGGCCAAACAACTGGGGTAAAGGGTTCAGTCAGCCAGAGAGAAGGATCTAAGAGCCAATCTCCTTGTTCTTTACCTCCGGGTTTGTCTGCCCCCCATACCCCACCCTCTTCCAACTCCTTTCGCTTTCATCCTCAGTGAGTTTTCATTTAGATTTTGGTACCTGTACCAGAGACAAGTAAACAAAAGGAAGCCTTTAAGGGAGTGGGGACATTAGATCCAAGGAGAGCCTGGCTTGAGAAGGTTGTGACGAGAGGTAGGAAGAACCAGAACCGGTTTTCTTCAGAAAAGAGGTGGGGGAAAAAAGATAGTGCTGGCAGTGGGCAGGGCTGTGCGTTAATATTGACCTCTTTTACTGACACCCACTCTACTGCCACCCTCATTCCTCCCAAGGAACAACCAGTGCGCCACAGGCACAGCTTCTCCCTTCCCAGTGTGGATGGACAGAAATTCTACACATTCCGCGTCCGGAGCCGCTTTAACCCCTTGTGTGGAAGTGCTCAGTACTGGAGTGAATGGAGCCACCCAATCCACTGGGGGAGAAACACTTCAAAGGGTAAAACAGGCCCTAGTGCAGAAACCCAACTGTGAACTCTCCACCCCAACCTAGTAACACGACCATTTTTTGTTCTGCTTCCTTAGTCCTAAGCCTCTACAGTGGGTGCCCCTTTTCCCTTCAGTCTTCAACTCTAATCCTTCAGAAGCAGAATTTTTCTGTGTAGGGTTGGTTCCATGAATTTTTTAGAGTAGGAGAGTGGCTTGAGAAGGGAGCCAAGCGCTGCTCAGGGGCGAAGTAGGAGGGAATATTCCCCTGGTCAGTATTCTCAGAGAGCTTGCACAGGGACAGTGGCTTTGAAACCAGACTGAGGCTGTGCCACATGCTACCTCTTTAGCCTTGGGCACATCAGTAATCTTTTTGATCCTGCTTGTTCATAGATAAAGTGGGGATACTAATTGTCCCACCCTCTCAGGAGCTGTTGTGTGGGGATTAAATGTAGGGAATGTGGGGTGAGTACTGTGGTGCCCCGGAATAAGCTGCCACGTGGGATGCTCACATCCCATAATGGAGTGCTGGTTTGAGTCTTAGATGCTCCACTTCTGATCCATTTCCCTGATGATGAACCCTGGGAGGCAGCTGATGATGGGTTAAGTATTCAGGTCTCTATCACCAATATATAAGACTCACATGGAATTTCTGGATCCTGGATTTACCCTGGATCAGATTTGGCTGCTGTGGCTATTTACGGAGTGATGGAAGATCCATCTCTGTTTCTTTCTCTGTCACTCGGCGCTTCAATTAGATGAAAATACACATTTAAAAAGAAGCACAGGGAATGTGTTTTGTACAGTGTCTGATAAGAGCTGGGGGTTCTATGACTGTCTATGCATGTAGAGTGGGGACACCACAAACATGAGATCCATTGCCCCTTTTTTTTTTCTTTAGAGAATCCTTCCCTGTTTGCTTTGAAAGCTGTGCTTATTCCCATCGGCACCATGGGACTGATTTTTGTCCTCATCTGTGTGTATTGCTGGCTGGAACGGTGAGATCTCAGGGAGCCCTCGAAATGAAGTAGGGGTGTCTGTCAGTAATGGAGGAGGCTTATAGTAGCGTGTCTAGGAGTAGAAGCTGAGATAGGAATGAGGGATCAACCAAGAGGGCTTGGTTGTGGAAGTTACAGGCGGGAAGAACAGAGAAAATTACTTCGTTGCTTCTGAGACAACTGGGAGAGTGGTAATAAAAGAAAAGTTTTAACTTGTGTGCTTCTGCTCTCTCTTTCTCTTGCCTCAGGATGCCCCCGATTCCCACCCTGAAAAATCTAGAGGATCTGGTTACGGAATACCACGGGAACTTTTCGGTGAGAATGCTGTCATATGCATACTGCAGTCTGTCAACTGCCAACTGCCTACTAGCAAGACAGAGTAGGTGGAGGGTGAGGGGAGGGGAGAGGAGCCTGCACTAACTGTCGGTCTGTGGCCAACCAAAGGGGGGATGGGTTGAGGAGAGAGAGAGAACACACACATGACAGATTAGAGATTGGGTGAGACAGATGGAAACAGCGGTTTTTGGGGGCCCAGAAGTCTGTGTGTTCCTTCTGTGATCATAGTGGTTGCAGATATCTCGAGACCTCTGTTGGCGCAGAGCCTGGGTCTTATACTTCCTGTCTGCATTTGACCTCTGACCTGGAGATATCTGTCTTTAGGCCTGGAGTGGTGTATCTAAGGGACTGGCGGAGAGTCTGCAGCCAGACTACAGCGAACGGCTCTGCCACGTCAGTGAGATCCCCCCAAAAGGGGGCACCCTGGGAGAGGGGCCTGGGGGCTCCCCCTGCAGCCAGCATAGCCCCTACTGGGCCCCACCATGTTACAACCTGAAGCCTGAAACATAACCCTCTCTCCCACCAGAACCCTCAGGGTCCTATGCTCACTTTGCTCCACTGTGGATAATTTTGAATTTTGTGCCCTGTGTATCAATCCCCTTCATTTAGTCTCCACTACTGAAGAATTGCCCCTTTGTCCCTTATGTTTCTTGTCTCTTACAATGTGGTGACCCTTCCTTTCTGTACCCCCTTCTCCCCCATCCCTCTTTCTATCTGCGCTTCAGTTGTTCCTAAACCAATGCAAAATAAAGTTTCTTTTGATAATTCTCAAGAATGTCTGTTATGGTGCCACAGAGAGCAGGGGAAGGATGGATTATAATGAGGATAGAAGGCATGGTGCTGAAGGTAAGAAAACAGAGTGGTAATCACATTGTGGAAGTGATCATACTCAAAATGAGCTGGCAAGAGTAAGTTTTGGAGACTTATTTTTCTCCAGGTGTTTTGTAGTCATTCCAGGATCCGAGTTAGAATGAAACTGACCACGCTCTCCCTGACTTCCCTTCAAGTCTCCCCAGAAATCTGATCCTGACCCTGCCCAATTGCTCCTCTGCCTATCCTTACTCCAATTGCTGCCACAGGAGCCACTTCTGACATCATAATCCCTCAACTGCAGCCTCTGGTCCTGCCCAACACAAGTGTCCATGGCTGTCTCCTGTCTGCTCAGTCTGAGCCTACTCAACCTATGAGTTCCACCTACCTACCCCATCCCCCAACCCTATGTGCTCCCTGGATCCCTCAGAACTCCTGGAAAGCAGCCTGCTGCTGCATGACTCGTACCAACGAAGACTGAGACCTTGAGAACATGTTCATCTACGTCAAATATGGAGGTGAAGGGCAGCCCAGAGCCGGGGTCTGTGCTGGGGATGGGAGGGCGGTGACGATCACAGGGATGTTTGTAATTAGAGGAGTGTCCACCACGTTCCCCATCCCATCTCTCCTCAGATGATCAGCATTTTCTGGCCAATACCAACTGCTCTGTCCTGTTGTTGCTGCATTATGCTCGGAAGAAATTAGGCTTGCGCAAAAAAGGTGAGGAGTTTGGGTAAGGGTCAAGGGTCTAAGGGAGTAGGGTCGTTTCTAGGCTCCGAATTCTCCTCCTGAGGAGAAGGGAATTTCTTGGATCTCCACAGCTGCCCCCAACATGCCGGGGAGAGGATCATTGGCCCTCTTTGCCCGCCCTCTTTACTCAGCTGTCCCAATTTACCCTGTGGCCTCTCTCCAGTCGTCATCGATTTTTGTGATGAAGCGGGGACGATGAAGTTGTTTTTCCTGATGAAGACCCCTGGGGAATATGCCACCAAGTTCCTTACGCCTCGAAGCACCTACTACATATGCAGGGTGGACCGTGGTGCACCAGGTAGAGGCTTGGTTGTGTTTCTCAGCAAAAGCCCTCAGGACAGATAAGCCTTGTCCTTAAAAACAGGATACCCTCCACTAGATCCAAGTTGGTAATCTCTGGCCAGCCTAAGAAAAGGCATTGGCTCTATGATGATAGGTTATGTTCCTACACACCATGTTCCCCATCTTCCATTCCACAGTGCACAAGTCACCCTTGGGCCCATACCTAAGGGGTGGGAATGAGTTACACAAGTTCAAAGTAGTGCTCAGTGTTTGGGTTTTGCATTCTGTGGTGTCCAGAGGGTGGGGACAGGGGTGGCAGGGGACAGGGATAAGGTAGCACACTGCTGTGTTCACAGGAACCCGCTTTCAGCATGCCTATAGAGCTTTTGTTCCTCTCATCAAGAATCCAGAGCCAGAGATGCTTGGTAAGGAGTGTGATGGGCAAGGGAAGAGCATGAAGTGAGTACGCTCCTTGGAGCCCAGCAAACAGAGAGGCAGGGTAGGAGGGACATTGAGATCAAACAAGGTAGAGCATGTATGTGCCCTTATTTCTCAGCCATATTCTTGGTATGTCCCTTTTCCTTACAAAAAAGTTTATTATATTTATTTGAAAGGCAGAGTAACAGAGAGAGAAGAGAGAGATGTTTCATCCACTGGTTCACATCCCAAATGGCTGAAACAGTGGGGCCGACCCAGGCCAAAGCCAGGAACATGAAACTCCATCTGGGTCTTCCACATGGGTGGCAGGGGCCCAGGTACTCCAGTCATGCTCCACTGCCTTCTCAGGTGCATTAGTACGGAGTTTGATCAGAACAAGGGGGACTTCAACTGGCTATCTTTTGGGATGTTGGCATTGCCAACCACATTGCACATGGCGGCTTACCCTATTTTGTCACAGCATGGCCTCTTCTTCTTGGCATATCTCTATCTCCCTGTCACCATGGTCTGCTTCCCATCGAAGGCCAGATCACTGTAGTTGATCAGTTGCAAGCTGGGAGTGTCAGGACTGGGAGAGTCTCTGGCACTCGGAGGTTGCAGGGACTTGTTCCTGGTTCCCAGATGCTCTGCGCACACAGTGTGACATGCTGGAGAGAAGCAGACTGAAGATGCTTAGGGCCCAAGAAGCCAAGAAGGTTGCTACCATTGAGTCCACTGTGAATCTCCCAGGAAAAGGTACCAAATCCAGCACCTCGGCCCTCGGCCAACAAAGGATTGGTTCACCTTCAGCCTTCAGCCAAAGGGTAGGTTCATCTTCACTCTCTGAGTTGGACATGCTTTCCCAATCCTATCCTATCCTTCCTCTAACCCTTCTGTCTTTTCTGACTCCTGTTGGTAGAAACCTCCAGGGGTTTGGGTGGGGGGCTTCTTAGTTATCTGTTTATTTTCCCTTTCTAGTCCAAAGGCCGATCTGATGCAGATGGGTCCAGTCGCAGAAGTCCACTCTACAAGCCTCGAGTAGGATTTTCCAAGAAGGAGAAGCGTCGTTAAACTCAATAAAATAATGAAGTGAGAGCAGCAATAATGGGTATGAAATGACTGTAATCCAACGGGAGGTTCATTTTTTTTCTAAGCGCGCTCCTTCTCCCACTATCTGCACTGAGGTCGAAGTCAGCCCCAGGGGGCACCGTGGAGGCGCAGAGGGTGGTTGGGAGCGGCAGGAGAGGCAGGAGACGGCTGGGGCGGCTGCATGGGTGGGGGTGAGGAGACCCGGCTGAGGTCTAGTACAATGAGCCTTTGAGGGACCGATGCGGGGGTGGGGTCATCTCAAAGCAGACTACCTCCCCTTGAGAGGCCTTGGACACAGCACTCCTCCTCCAGCCCGGGTTAGGTGTCCCTCCCCTCCGCAGTCCCCGCCCCCCTCTGCAGGCCGAAATTCCCCCACCCCCTCACCTCTCTGCCTCAGGGCAGTCCGTCCCCGCCGCCCGGCTGCCCGCCCACCCAGCCACCCTTGGCCTCCCTCCTCCTAAACCCGAGGGGAGCAGCGAGGCAGCAGAAACCAGAGCTGGTTATAGGCATTTATTGAATTTATTCATTTATTGATTTGACACACTTCCCCACTCCAATCTAAGCACATGATACAATCTGGGTAGGCCAGGCGCTGACACAGGAAATGATGGGAACCCACAGCAGGGGTGGGGGAGGGGATAATGCAAAGGGCGCTGGGGGAGGGGCTGCTTTGGGGGCTGGGGTGGAGAAGGAGCCCCAGATGGCCTCCCTGGCAGGTGCTAGTAAACCTGATCCACATTCCCCCCTCCCCCCTCATTTCTCAGACCCTTAGCCAAACTCCCTAGCTCCCTCTTCCCGGTTCCTCCCCTCCCCCCGCTGGCCTGCTACCACACACACTTCCACATAACCCCTGTCGTCAGGCTAGGGGAAGAAGGGCAGGGACAGCTGTCAGGGGCCTTGAACAGGGAGGTCTCTGTACCTCACTTCACCACCCTAAATCCTCCTCTCCTCTTCTCCCCCCTCCCAAGGCCTCAGACAAATTCCAGGCCTTCAATGCATTCTCCCTAACCTCTACACTAACCCACATGGGGGTCATTCAAGAGTGTGGCTGCACCCCAAGACTGCATACTCCCAGGCATGAGTTGACAGAAAGAAAGGACCTGGCTTAGCCTTTGCTTTAAGGAGACTCTAGCTCAGACCTTTCTTCTGACTGGGAGGCGCTCTAGGCCCCATTTGCTATGGCACCCACCTCTTCCCTTCTTCCGGGACTGCCCTAGTCTTGTCTGTAGTGTTTGTATCATGTCACTGTGACGAAGCCCTCAGAAAGAAAAAACAAGCCTTCTCCCATCACTAGCACCTTGCCGCTGTTAAAAAATCTTCTATATTTGTGTTTATATTTCTTTAAAAGTTTATAAAAAGCCTTTCTGTTATCTGCAGCCTTCCAAAGGGTGACATGGCCTCGCGAGCCACTCCAGGGCTCAGGCCTTGGCCCTTCCAGGTTCCCTATACCCCCACCCCCCACCCCATCCCACCCCGCTGGCCTAAGGGGCCACTGCATAAAAATCCCAGGCTCAACCTAGCCTGGCCCAGCTCAGATAAGACTCTCTACAAAAAAATCCTGCTCCCAAAGGCAGGGGTAAGGCCACTGGTGACTTCACATTTCCAATAGCACTGCCCACCCCTGCTACCAAGCCTAGGGGTTGGGAATGGGGGAAGCAGAGGCTGGCTCCTGAGAAAGGGCCTTACCCCCCAAAATTGGCACAGTGAAAATAAACCCTTTCCCTCTCCCTACCCCCCTAACTCCCTCCCCCCTCAACGAGGCCCCAGCAGGGGCAGCTTTATAACTTCCTCAACTTCCTGTGTGGTGTATGTGGTATGTTTGTTTATGTTATGTCCATCCCCAGACCCCACCCTTATGCTAAGGCAGGGGCCCAAATCCCTGGGGAGAGCTCAAGGGAATAAGAGTATATACGGACACGCCTGGCTCCACCTCTGAAGTGGGGGACAAGGCTCCCAGCCATGACTCAGGGATCTGTAGGAAGAAGAAATAGAAGACAAGGTAAGAGGCTCATCCTTGGGCACGGCCATTTTCCACCATTTCCATTCACACCAAGCACAGCCGAAATACTGCCTGCTTGTGCGGGTGCGCGCGCGCGCGCGCACACACACACACACACACACAATCTTTTCTGAGTTATACTGGAGGGGCAGGCATTGCTGAGGAGTCTCACAGATTCATCTGGAAACTATCATCTAATACCCTCCCTCTGATGCCCCAACTGAGGTTACCCCCGGTGCTAAAGCGCCCCTGGCATAGGACCAACCAGTCACTAGGAGTAGATAGACTTAGGTCGTGAAATGCTATGGTGATCAGAGAGGTGCTGTACCTGGCTCAAAGTTGAAGTCCAGTCCCTCGCCTCCGTCCATGAGGTCACTGATGATGTTATCCATGTCGCACTCTAGGTTTTCCATATACATATCCAGGTCGAGATCCTGAGGCATTCTGTCTTGGTTTGAAGCTTCAGTAGGAGGTGTGAGCACAGGAGTCCCCAAAGCCTTGGGGACAGGGGCACCTCCCATGACTGGAGGGGGTGCTATCATAGAAAGGCTGGGAACCAGACTGCTGGGGCCTGGAGCCTCTAGGGCCTTAGGACACAGACCAACTCCCGTAGGCAGCTTATTGGAGGAAGGTATCCCCCCCAGCAATAAAAGTGTTGGAGCCTGGGAAAGAATGGGATCCACCTGGGTCATAAGGACATCTGCTGGGGGTGGTGGTGTATCAGAAGTGAGCAGGGCCTCCAGAGACTGGGAGCCTGAGAAGCACCCATCTCCTGCTGCCAGGGACCCCTCTGCTGGGCTGAAGAGGGTGCTGTAAGTGTGCAAGGGCCCGCTAACCCCAGTGTGCTGCACAGAGAAGCCAGAGAGGCTGCTCCGGGACAGCAGGGAATGGGGAGATGTGAGATTGAGCCCATCTAACAGCTCTAGATCTTCATTCAGGGTGGGAGGGATCCCCCCTCCAAAGCTGCTGACTGAGGCAGAGATTTCCTCCTCCGCCAGCACCTCAGACTCCGGCTGCATGGGCGACAGCCGGGTGCTGACTGTGCTAGCATTGGAACTGCTTCGTGGACGGAAGGAGCCCCACATATCAGCTTCTTCTCGGTTGCCCGACCACTGGGAGAAGTGGTTGAGAGGACTCGTCGGGGTGGCGCCTTCAGGTGGAGCAGGCAGCACAGCTGGCTTCTTCTTGGGGGCCTTGCTACGGCCTCGGAGCAGCTTGTTGCTGCTATCCATGGAGGCTGCCCTGCGCCGGGGCGTCTTGCCGCTCTTGCCTCCCTCGGGGTTCAGCATCCACCAGGAGCTCTTGCCAGTGGCCTCGTTGTGAACCTTGATGAACTTGCTGTGCAGGGACAGGTTGTGACGGATCGAGTTCTGGAAGAGGCAGAGGCAGCAGGAAAGGGGCATGAGGGCGCTGTCTAAAGGGGTTGCGGGGACACAGCAGGGGTGTCTCTGCAGCCTCAGAGAATGTCAAATAGGGGGGCGGGGGAGAGGGAGGCGAAAATAGTAGTGAGCCCCTGTCCTGTACCCTGGCTGACAAAGCTCCCGGGTCAGGGGACGGGCGGGGGAGGGGGTATCTGGGGCTGGTGGGTATTGGAGAGGTAGGTACTCCTGGCCCAGTGCAAGAAACTAGGTTCTGGCGGGAAGGCATGTTCTACCTGTTTTCCTGAGCACAGGCTCCCTTACAGTTCATAGGAGAGTGATGTAACACCAGCCCGAGGTGGGCTTACCCTGTCTGGAGCCAGTTCTCCCAAGAGGCTGAGTGCTTAAAGCCCATGGGGCATTTGGGTAGGCTAGCTAAACTTCAGATTGGAAGATCCCGCCCCCCGCCCCCCCCCTCGCTTTTTTTTTTTGGCCCTGGATCCTGGCCTTACACCTTCCATTCCACAACACACATCCTCAAACTCAATTCAGTCCCGGCTTGTCACTGTATCTCACGCAGGAGCTGCAGTCTGCCCTTCCTCCTTTTCTTAGAAGGCTGTCCCCTCCGTAACTTCTAGTTTGTCCAGACCAAGTTTAATTTCTCCTTAGCCCACAGGAACATTTATTTGATTTGATGAAGGGTTTTCTAATACTAGAACTAAAAATAAATCCAAATTCAAACATTTTTTTTTAAAAGCGTAAACTTAAGCCTCACCTCTTTTTATCCACATTTCTTGCACAGTATTTTTCATCTGTTTCCCACATCTTTTTGCCCAGTCTACACGGCGTGCGTTTATTCTCATGTAGTTAGTCTCATCACACATAGGAGTACCAAGGGTGCTGTGATAGTCCCCCAGTCCCCACAGCCCTCAAGTGCACCCTCGGAGTACCCAACTCACAGCACACACTCAGTACACCCTCGTGCTCATGACTGCCTGCACGGTGGGTGGCCCCGCTGTTCCGACTCGCGGGGTGGAGAGGCTCCCCTTGTGGCTCTGTCTGGAGTATTGGAAGCCCTGTGTTCTTCTCCCTCCCTCCCTTCCTGGTGACACTGGACTAAGGATTCTTTTATTTTCCTTTCTTCCCAGCTGTCTGGGGAGCCCAGATTAGTTGCTTCTGGAGCCCCAGGTGCAGTTCACTCTTCCTGGTGACCACAGGCTACTTACACCACAAGTTTGAATCCAGTCACCTCCCGCCCTCGTGTCCCCCCCCCCCCACCACCACCCTGCCGTCCCGCCAAACTCCCTTTTCTTCCCTACCTACCTCTTCCCAGCTCCTTTCCCCCACTTCTTAGGAGTTTGTATATAATCTCTCTACCCTTAGGGCCATTTGGAGCTCTCTGGTTCAGAAACTCAGGAGGCCATCAGAAAGGCTGGGGAAAGGAGGAGGCTGGGGATATGAACAGTTAGAAGCCACTTGCATTTTTTCTGACTGGTGTTCTAAGATAAGGAGGCCCTTGGCCTGGGAAGCCATGCTTCAGCAGCTTCTCCTCCCGGGCTCTTTACCAAAGGCCTCCTCTCCTGGGACTCGTCCCTAATGGCACTCCCACTACACCGGCTCCACTGATGCTTCCCGGTTTTTTCCAAGACTCGCCTTTGTCCATGTGGGCCAGAGCTGCTAGGAACAGGACCACAATGACTTTTGGCACATGAGTTGCCTACAGCTTGCTACTCACCAGGCCCATTTGTTCATCCTTTCTTCTCTAGGCCTTGTAACTAGCAAGCAGTACAGCACCTTTGTTGCAGAGGTCAGTTCCCTAGGAACCTTGGTGGAAGGTAGGGGTGTGCCTGCTAATTGCTCCCCAAGCCACGGAACCCAAGGTTTCTTGCTCTAAGTGAGTGCCGCCCCCTGGTGGGGTGGGAGCAACCTTGGACACTTACCAGGACAGGCAGCTGGGACCAGAGGCTTCCTTTTTTCAGCGTGTGCGGAGTCCTGGAAGCCCCGTGCTCAGCCTGATTTGGTTTTGCCACCATCCTAGTGTGCACAAGCCATGCTTTTCTTGGAGGATCTGAGCTATAGTTAGACCTGTGCTGCTGCTATTGGGCGAACATCTTAACCTCTCTATTCCTAGGTTGCCTACTACAAAATGTGGAATCTCAGAGTTGCTGCAAAGACTAATAAAATTCTTTCTTTAGAAAAAAAAATTAAAACTACTTGGTAAACAATAAAGCCCACAACAGTGTAAATTATAAGGAGGGATGATACTCCCACAATATAACAACTCGTGGTTATTTCTTCTAGCCTGGAAAATGAACCAAGGGGAAAAGAAAAACAGCTGTGTAGGCTGGGTCCAAGGAGGGGAGTTCTTTATGAGCTGAGGCTGTGGCATGGCAGTCTACCCAGAAATAGTGCCAAGGGTCTCAGTCAGCTGTCCCTGCTGTCCTGCCCAGCTCCGAACAACAGTGCAGATCTGATTCCTCCACCTCTCACACCTAGGGAAAGATCGCGTGCCTGTCTCAACCCTCGCCTTTGTTGTATACTGACCTCGCCACCTCCAGAGGTACATCAAGAGGGACTGAAGCGCCTCAGTTTGCTTATTAAGACCCCATATTTCTCAGCCCAAGATTTTCATGGTGGCTTGCGCTCTGAAGCCAGGATCCTACCTCCTTTTCACAACGAACATTCCTCCACAGTAAATGAAGTGTCACCCACCCTCCCACCCACCCGCAAACTTGGGTAGCCCTTACAAGAGAGATTCTCTTGCTCTTACAGGGTAGACGGCGACAGAAACTAGCTCACAGCCCATTTTCTTTTTGCGACATAGAATCAGCTCCCTTTCCCCCAGACATAGCACTCTTTTTGCCCTTTGCTACCCCTCGTCCTCCTTTTGGGGTAGAACAGTACCTCTACACTGAGGTACTGGAAAGCAAGCAGGGAATCCAAGTAATCCCACAGGAATGGGGGAGAAGGTGTCAGGTGGGAAGTGTGTGGGGTGAGGGTGGGGGAAGCGAAGTTCGTGTGGGGAATCCACACAGGTCCTGCTGTACATAGGATAAAGACTTCTCTGTGGGAATAAGTGTTTGGGGCAGCCCAAGCCAAAGTGCTGGGAGTGCTGAGCAGTGAGCAGAGAATTCAATTTTTTTTTTTTCCTGCAGGGCAGGGACAGTGTCTTATTCATCTCTGATCCTTCAGCATCAAGCTGTGAGTGCGGCATATACTATGTACTAAGTAAATGTTTGTCTAACTGGAGATTGAAGGTGTATCTCTGAGCTTCCCAAAGGGGCAGCGGGAGGCAGCACAAGGGGCCCCAGCACAGAAGTAAGGAGGTGGGGGAGGACCCTGGGCGGGATGGTGTGGGGTCAGAGCTAAATGGGAGGGGGGGGGGCAAAATTACCTTCCATCCAGCTGAGCTGTTGCTGTCACCCTTGTCCTTGAAGTAGGGCACCGTGCGGACCATCCACTCATAGATCTGGGCGAGGGTCAGCCTCTTCTCCGGGGCGCTCTCAATGGCCTGGCTGATGAGTTCTGCATATGACTGATTTCCCCAGGCATTCCGGCGGGAGCCTCCCTTCCGAGGACCTGTTACAGCCCCCAGGATCCCGGGCTGGGGGCCCCCTGCCGGCTCGGGGAGCCTTGGGGGCAGCAGGATTGGTTCTGAGTGGCCCTCCGTGGGTACCTCCTCTCCTCCCAAAGCAGGCTCCACCACTGGCGGCTCGCGCGGCTCAGTAGTGAGCTCTGGTCGGGGAAGGGGCCAGGTGCAGGAGCGGGGACGGCTCTGGGGTTCGAAGTCGGGATCGAGGTCTATGATCGCGGCAGCCTCTGTGGCTGATTTCTCATTCCCTGGATCCATACGTGGAGTCGGACCTCCGCGGCTCAGCGATCACTGCTTGCCACCGTCCCTCAGGATGCCTCCCCCCAGGGGGGAAGCACCGAGAGCCAGGAGGCACATTCCTGCCAGTCCTCAGAAAGTCACGAAGTTCCCCCCTCACCGCAAGGCGCTAGCCCCCTAGCTGCCCCTTGCACACAGTTCTCCGATCCTCTTGCCGACTACAGCTACAGCCTCAGAGCTCTCTCCGAGCCACCACCTGTAACCTCCGCCTAAGCGAAGGCACTTTTTCTGCAACCTCTCACTCAGCTTCCTGCTCTTTTAAACCTGAGGCACCGTATCCCCTCATACATTGCGCTCCCATCACCGAACGTCTCCTCAGCCGCAGTTCCCTCCCCCTTTTAAGTTGCTGCCCCCCGGACACTCCTCCCAAATTTCCTCCACCCGGATCACTGCCCTCCCCCACGCCCCGCTCCCCCGCGTCACTTGCCCCTCCCCTGGCTCCCCCTTCCCCCCGTCTTTCCCCCCTCGCTACTCTCAATAGGGTCCAGGTCCTCGTGGCCCCAGCCCCTCTAATTCCCGTACCGATTTCCCTACCAAACCCCCCCACCCCCCGCCCCCCGGGTTTCCCTTTTGTTTTGCTCCAAGCAGCAGCCCCCGCCTGACGTCTCTGTTTACCACTCGCTGGGGCAGGCATCTGCGCACGCGCCTGACGAGCCAGTTGGGAAACCGAGTTCTTCTGTCTTGCCACCCTGGTTGGCCTGAGGACTACATCTCCCGCCCTTCCCCGCGGCCAGGAGCCCGAAGCGGGCGGCAGGAGAGCGGCGTGGCAGGATATGGGGAGGTGGAACTTGAATTATTAGAGGTCGTCGCGGACTCTTTCTCGGTGCTTAAAAATCATTTTCCGTCTCCCCCCCGGCCTTTCTACGTTCTCCCTTGGGATTAGCGGTCGCCGAGTGACCGTGTTGAGAGACACTAGACCTTTTTCCTTCAGTTATGAGAGGGCAAAAGGGAAAAAAAAAATGCCGTCTCTACAAGCCGAAAATCCAGAGGCAAGAAACTGGCCAGGAAATAGGCGCGCGTCGCGAAGCTTGTAGGGGGCTTGTGAAACAGACAAATGTCGGCTGATGGCGGCGTTCCTCTCCAGCCCCTCAAGCCTCTCTCACGAGTTTCCAACCCCTTGCTCTTCTGGTCTCCGCTTAAAAAGTATTCTCCAGGTTCCTGTCCTCAGCGGCTTCACTTCTCATTCAACAGGTCGCAAATGAATTCACGATCAGTTCCTGCACTTACACCTCCTATCCTCTGGCCACCCTTTTATTTCTCAATTTGGTGAATGGTTGCCCTGCTGTACTCAGTCTCCAAGCTAGATTTACCCATTACTTTTTCATGTTCTTAATTTCCTACATCCGAATCCCAGTTCAAGACCTCATTTATAACTGGATTTAAATTGCAGTATCGTCTTAATGAGACCTCCTCCCATCAATCTTTCTCCCCACCACAGTTTATGTTCCGTGCCGCCAACAAGGTTGCCTTTCTGAGAAACACGCCTGGTAATTACAGCTAAAATTTATGGAGCGCTTATTAGGTACCAGTCACAGTGCTAATGGCTTTTCCAATGTTAGCTCATTTACTCCTCAAATCAACCCTGTGATGGAGTTACCACTATTACTTCCTTTTTATAGATGAACACGGTAACAACGTTCAGAGAATAAGCAATTTGCCTAAGGTGGAAGGAGGACTGGGATCTTATCCTTTGTATGTGATTCATACAACCTCCCTGCTTGAAACGCACTCCGAGTCTCCATTATCTGTGCAGTAGGGTCCAAATTCCCTAGCTGTGCTTCTCAAACCGTTCCTGCCTCATCTTTCACTGAATTCCAACAAGCTGGAATTTCCTCCTGCTTCCTGGAAATACCATGCCCTTTAATGCATCCTGGAAAAGTCATCCTTGTAAAGTCTGACTTGGGAGAACTCTTATTCAGCCTACCCTACCCCCCTCATGCACAATCTTCTTCTGCATTCCCAGGCGCTTTGTGTGGCCTTGTGTTCTTTCTATAGCTCAAACCACATTGTGCTCTAATTATTTGTTTGTCTGTCCCTCCCAATAAACTGTGAGCTCCTTGAGAGAGCAGACAAGTTTTATGTCTCTTTGTAACTCCAGCTCAGGGTTACATAGTAGATAGTGTTGTAGGAATGAATGAATGTGATCAGAAATCGAATGATAATGCACATGTGCCTATTTAACAATTTTTGAATGGACACATCCCATGGGATTTTTGCAGCTGGCCATTTGCCAGTTTTTCTGCCAGACAGCAAGCTCCAGGGGGGCAGGAAACTCTAATGTTCCTACCATTTGCCTTCTTGCTTGTTAGATTTTCTCTAATGACTGGGCCTTCCTCCTGTGAGGAGGGCTGTCCGTGCAACCTGGAGTGTTCAGCTGTGCACACTGAGCCTTCCAAGGGCTGTTAGCCTGCTCATAGTAAAATAATCGCTTCGCTTTTTCGTATTCTTGCTTTCTTGTGCGCGAGCAAGTATTTGTCCTCCACCTGTAAGCTAGTGGGTACACAAGGTCGTGTATTTCTATCCGAGCTCTGGCCTGGAGGGAAGGGAAACAGTGCCTGCAGACATTTCCTGCATATTTGCCTTGCTCCTGCAGCCCAGCCTTGAGTACCTTGTAAGTGCTGCTTGAGTGGTGAATTTGGAGGAGAGAGCCTGGTGGGCACTAGGTCACTAGGAACTCCCATCGAACTGCAACAGGTGTGGTAGCATATCATGCAGAAGTGCTGAGACACTGAACTGGCAGGGTGGGGCTGGCACCTGTCCTGGCTTGAGTTCTATCTTACATTGTCTGCCTTTGTGAGTCTGTTTGAAAAAGTCCACCTCTCCACCAACTCATGTCCATCACCTAATTCTAATTCAAAGCTCCAAACTTACATGCTCTTGGAAGCATTCCCCCAACTAGCCCAACCTGACAGATCACTTCTATACTTTGCATCTCCGGAACCTCAATGAACTCAGTTTGTGTTCTTGAATTCCGTGCTTGTGGCCCACGGCTTTTCATTTCATGAGATTAATTGTCTCCTCAATCCGATGATACAGAAATACTTAAAACATGGGTGGAAAAGTGAAATAACAAATTGGCTTCGGTGCAAAAAGTTAGAAATCCAAGCATGTTTTTCTTTCCCCTATAGTGTGCATTTCCATAAACTTTTTGAAGAACTCTGTGCATAATTTTCAGACTTGTTTTTCACACCAAAATGTATCTTTTAATGCCATTTTCCCACAAATATTTCGAAGTCACTTGTAAGTATCTGTTTGACAAACAAGAGGTGTTTGTTGAGCCTTTTCTGTTACCTTGAAATCCTGACCAAATAAAAGCAATCATGTGCCATAAGACCAGTTGATTTAGGAAGGTGAGTTAAAGGATTGGGGGATGGTAAAAATGCTGTCAGTTGAAAACATGCAGCTGGAGAGGAGAGTTCAGGGCTGTTCACCTTATTGCCACGGGAGTGTTAGCACATACATTAGTTAAGAGACAGCGAGGTGGCCTTGGAAGGAGAGGAGACATTGGTCAGGAAAGAGAAATAGCAGGAGGCCCTTCTGAAAACCACTGGAGTCCTAAGTTATGAATAGATACAGCGGTATGTGAAGGGTGTGGGCTTCACCAGTTGAAAACTCAGAGTTTATGTTCTCAAATGGCTCCCCATTCACCACTTGGTTTTTTTTTTCCCCTCTCTTGAAGGTCATAGGAGTTCGTCTCTTTTGCCTCTTTCACTGCCACCACCCACTCTGCCACCTGGGTACCACCCCCCAATCCCACCGCCAAGCCGGCTCTATTCATTCAAGTTGAGATAGACATTTCCCCACTTCTCTCTTACCTTGCCTAGTTCTGAAAAAAAAAAAAATACACAACCCTTGCTGAGAGTTTTCACGGGATTCTTGGCAGGAGTTTTCACGGGATTCTTTCACAGCAAAAGATGGAGGGATTAACAGAAATCGCAGTGAAAAAGCTCAAGGACTCTCAAGCCAGCAGAACCTCTGCTTGTCCCTGATCTCAGATCCGCATGCAGGCTGCAGTTTTTGGTTATCTTCTTCCCTGGGCCTTTTCTATGAAAGATTTCTAGTCCTCGCCTTAGAAGCCACCCTCCCAAGCCCTATCATTATTTTAAAAACCTCTTCAGTTAATAAACATTTCCAGACACCAGGCTGGGTGCTTTCGCATAAAGTACACCCTAGACTGAAGTACTCACATTTTAGCCCTGAATAAATTTGTTGAGTTGGCACCATGGCTTAGTTTTTTGTTCCCAGTGGTTGACTTTTTAAAAAAGATTTATTGATTTATTTGAAAGAGTAACAAAGAGAGGGAGAGATTTTTTTTTCCATCCACCGGGTCACCTGGAACTGACTGTAATAGCACTGGACAGGCTGGAGCTGGTAGCCAGGAGCTTCATCTTGGTCTCACATACGGGTAGCAGGGGCCCAAGCACTGGGACCATCTTGTGCTGCTTTTTCCCAGGCTATTAGCAAGGAGCTGGATTGAAAGTGGAGCAGCTGGGACTTAGACTGGTGCCCATATGGGATGCTAGCGTTACAGTCTGTGGCTTCATTGGATGCACCACAGTGCTTGACCCATGACTCTCTCTCTCTTTCTTTTTTTTTTTTTTTTTGTAACCTAAAGGAAATTCAGTGCAACCCAAGGAGCACTAGTTTTTAATCAGGAGATCTGAATCTTTGTCATAGTTCTGACACTAACTAGTTGAATATGATACCAGTTACACAGATAATTAATAGCGACATTTATTGGATTTTTGTTATGGGTTAGGCAACATGCTAAACACTCTCCATGAGTTATCTGGTTCAATCTACACCATAAGCATTAGAAACTCAAAGGCTATTCCCATTCTTACTTCACTGAAGAAAATGAGACTAAAGGTGAAGTTGACCCGACTAAGGAATGGAGTTACTAAGTTGTAGAGCGGAGGCACAAAATCAGAAGTGCTGACTCTAGAACCTACATGTACAAACTAATTCTCTTCTGCCTTTGGTTTCCTCGTTTGTAAAGATCAGAAGAAAGTATCACCAAAGTCTCTTTAAACTCTAGCATTCCATTTCCTGTGATCTCCAATCCAAGTGGGGTGGAAGACCCCACATTGCCCTCCCTTTTGCCCTTGGGCTGTACTGAGCTTACACTTCACATCCACACAAATTTCCTCCTGTCCCTCCCACCCCATGAATAACATCCCCCTGTTGATCCCTCTGATTTTGAGAGACCTTCAAGATTCCGCTTTAACCCTTGCTGTGGACCTTTCTGGTTTCAATAATCGAAAGTCTTACCTACATCATATTTACCAGAGTTTTAACCAGGAGTGCCACAGCAGGGTATGCAACACACAAAAATGTGCTTGTTTTCAAGTTACATGGAAAATATAAGATGTAATACT